GCGCGTCATCGGTGTCAAAAATAAGATTTTCATTTTCATATAACAATATAAATTTTGGATAACACACAATTGTTCATATAACGCTGTAAATTTTGGATAACACACGACTTTTCATATAACGCTATAAATTTCGGATAACACGACTTTTCATATAACGGTATAAATTTCGGATAACACACAACTTTTCATATAACGCTATAAATTTCGGATAACATACGACTTTTCATATAACGCTATAAATTTCGGATAACATACGACTTTTCATATAACGCTATAAATTTCGGATAACACACGACTTTTCATATAACGCTATAAATTTCGGATAACATACGACTTTTCATATAACGCTATAAATTTCGGATAACACACGACTTTTCATATAACGCTATAAATTTCGGATAACACACGACTTTTCATATAACGCTATAAATTTCGGATAACACACGATTTTTCATATAACTTTAATTATGATCCTTTGCGAGCTTACGGGCTGCTAGAGCACGTGGGCAAGGAACTTGAAATTTTTATAGTACATGCACATGTTTTTATACATCGCTGAATTTAAAATCTAAATATTTCGCAAATCCTAAATTATGACATCCTCTCGTGGAAATATTAGTGGGAACACAGCTATAGGGAACTTTTGAAAAATTGTGCTAGTAATCTTGACGAAGCGTCGCGATTGTTATTAAACGAGGAAAATGCTCAGAGTGATGGTCGGACAACCACTGTGAAGTACGCATGAGATTCAACATGTCATTCGACATGGTGTGAACTCACTCATTTCAATCACTCAGAAGAAAAAATGAAAAATAAGCCATTTCTTCTCTTCCAAATGAATTAGAAAGAAATAAATCATACAGTTCGTATTAACTAATTAATACTTTTATGTTTTATTGCACACAAAGCAACAAACGCGCCAGAGTTTATTTTAGCATGCAGTTCTATACAAAATGTGCAGTTCTAAATCCATTTGTGCAGTCCTTAAAACTCAAATGTGCAGTCACCAAACTAACAAATTCCAGAATTGCTGTCATTAATTGATCATCAAAAATATAAACGTTTTCTGGGGGAGGACTCCAGACCAGAGGCGTAGCCAGGATTTTCGGTCAGAGGGGGCCGGCAAAAACCCAGGTGGGGCCAAGCCGCCAATGACTCGAGACGCAAAGTTCGCGCAAGAAACAAATTTGCGGACCACACAACATTTTAAATCCTCCCCCCCCCCCGTGGACAACTTTTTCGCTAAAAAATTTTTCTGGACAATAACATTACAATTGCTTTCGTAGCACTTTCCCCGATTTCCGTATCACTTTTTCCGATGCTTCACCACGAAGATTCCGACAACATTAGAGAGCAAGAGAACGAAGTCAGACGACGACGTGGACCGTGGTTGACAATTTTTGCCTGTCTTGCACATTATCTTACGCATTCTGAGTTTAGAGTCAGGCGTGAAGACAGATTAGAGATTTATGTCTAGCTGTTTATGAATGCTGACCCAAATCCTTACCCTGGTCAGAACAAAACAGCGAGACATGAATCCATATCTCGTCTTCGTTCTTCTGCCTTCGTTCACAACGAAAAATTCGCAAAAATTTTGGCAAAATTCGCTGTGATCTTCGTTCCGAACGAAGGCAGAATGACAAAGACGGAATATATTTTCATGTCTCGCTGTTTTTATTTCTGGGTCTGGGCAAGAATTAGGGTCAGTATTCATAAACAGCGACACGTGGGAAGTCACGTTGAGCAACCACCAGTGACGTCCAACTCAGTATGCGCAAGATAATGTGCAGACGGCAAAAATTGGCAAGTACGCCTTCGTCTTCGTACTTCGTTGTCTTGCTCCAACTCTCTATTGACAATTTTCCGACGGGTCTCAATTTTCCGACGGGTCTCCCACTCCCCCTCCCCTCCGGCAACGGCGCCACTGCCGAGCCCGCATTAAAAATTCACTTGTAAAAAAACCAGATTGGTTTAAACTTTATCGAACCCTCATTTAATACATATTGAAATAATTAGGGTTAGAAAAGGTATGTGTTTCAAGCTGTGTGCCGCAAATAAGTGAACAAGTGATTTTAGGTTTCACACCGATGCCCATCAAAGCATATATTCTACAGAATTTTTGCATTATTGACAGCATGAAGCTATATAATCAAAGATTCCCTTTTTTATACAATACATTTTATCAGGCCCCCCCCCAAATTTTGCCAGGGGGCCCCAAATTTTGCCAGGGGGCCCAGCCTTGGCTACGCCTCTGTAGCCGATTTAATTCGCGCGTGAAAAGCATATGCTCACAGACTCAATTCAGCCATATAATAAACCGATGACCTCGCTTGTTCGGTCTGTACT